CAGGGAGCCAATGGAGAGAAACTAAAACTGGAGAGATATGATCTCTCCCAGTAACTCCAGTTAAGACTCTGGCAGCAGCATTTTGGATCAACTGAAGACGTTTTAAAGAAGTATTTGGACACCCAGATAATAAACCATTGCAATAGTTCAGTCTAGACGTGACAAATGCATGGACCAGTTTTTCTGCATCATTTTTAGATCAGATGTTTCTTTTTTTTTACATTTTATTTTAAGCTTCTTTTTTTTACACAATTGAACATCTGACATTCCCCCTTCATTGAACACTAAAAGAAAAAAAAGAAATGCACAGCACTGGAACTACCCACAACTTTAAAAAATAGTCACAATGAATATATAAAATCAATGAACCAAATCCTCTGAACGTCACAACGACCCACCCATCAAGATGTCAGGTACACCTCCACACAGCACCACCTTTGGTCAAAAAGATCAGTGTCATTTGTAGAACTGATGTCAACTTTTCCATAATATATACAAGGATTCAAGGTTCTTTAGCGAATGAAATTATGTACACAGGGTCCCAGTTACATCCAACAATAAAATGTAAAAGAAAAACAGTAATAACATCTAAGATATGAACTAAGAAAAACATCAACTAAATATACACTAAGCACTAAGAGCATAAAAACATCACGTCGAACATCAGCACAAACATGAACATGAGTCTGTGTGAGCAGATGTGCACGCATGAACACATCAACATGAAACAGATCAGCAGCAACATGAAACAGATCAGCAGCAACATGAAACAGATCAGCAGCAACATGATGTGATTTTTTTCACAGTGATTATTCTGGTTAGAGATTCATGAGTCTAACAGCCTCAGGGTAGGGTATACTTGTTTAACCATCCGATTCCATTCAATTGTTGCCGGGGGTTTCAAGTCTTTCCAATTTACAGTGATTAGTTTTTTTTTAAACCAATAATAAAATATTTACTATATATTCTTGATTTGAGTTGAACTCCTCATTTAGCATAACCCCCAGTATATAAAACAGAGGACCTGATGAAACCTCCATCTGCATAATTTTCTCAAGCTCCACCTTGATATAATATGTTAAAAGTTACCCAAACAAAAAAACTTGGCTGAATGCAGAGGTGTGCACCCTGCTGGAAGCCAGGAACACTGCCTTCAGGTCTGGAAACTCACTGGAGCTGAGAAGGACAAATAAAGTGCTGGTTGCTGGTATTAAGAAGGCCAAGGCCACATAAGCACAGAGTATCCAGGGTCAATTCACCTCACAAGACCCACGGAGCATGTGGAGGGGCATTAAGTGCATAACAGATTACAGTATAAAGGAAGGAGCGAACAATGCCTCAAAGACCCATCTCTGCCTGATGCCCTCAACAGGTTCTATACAACATCCCTGGAAAAGTGTTGAAAGAATTTGCCGATCAGCTCTGTAAGGTGCTGGCAGACATCTTTGACACCTCACTTACCCTGGAGACAGTTCCCACCTGCCTGAAGACC